CCTAATCTATAGCTCCTCGATAGGTTAGTATTCCTTTCCAGCAACTTTTTGCTCAGATTGGTCAAAAAGAGATGGGCAGGGGCATGACTATTAGTTGTTTTAGATAACACTAGGGTAACGATGAGTTGGGCCATTGTGTTATTAATTTAGTCATAGCCAGTTGTATTAAATATATTTATAGTTTTTATAAATTTGTTTAATTTTTATCAACTGCAAAATAAATTGTTTAATAAAAAAAAAAAAAAATATAAAATATATAATAATAAAATATAAAAATAATTAATAAAAATAAAGGTAATAACAGTTGATTGACTAATATGTAATAGATTAGATATTTCTCACTCATTATATCCATCAAAGTTTAAATAAACTATTAAATCTTCACTAAATCACATCCCATCTTATTTCTACAGAACAAAATATTTTAATAAACATATTTGCTAAATATTTTACTAAAAAACAATATATATATATATACAGTATATAGCCATTTTTACTAACAAATAACTTCTATTGTTCTCCATAATTATTGGCAATCTTTAGTAATTCTGGGTAATCTATAATAAGTAATCGTTTTTGTAATTGGCATAAAGTTGCTATAAAAAAGTCTTCGTAAATATATTGGAACACAACAAATAATTTCCCTGATATCAATTTGTTGAGTTTAATTTTTAATCGCCAGCGATAATGTAGATCATTCCTTTTTTCACGAATCACAAATTAAATTAATTATGTTTCTAAATTGAATACAACATTACAATGGAAAAATAGTTAATTATGATTCCATTGATTCCATATAAGGACTACAATATTGTTAAAATTTAAATGAATGCAATATTATTCGAACCACTTTTTTTATACATATTTTTTACATTTACCGATGTTTGTTATTTTGTTATTTATAATTGAGCGTTTTGTAAACCCTATTGGTATAAATACCTGCTATTGTTTGAAATACATATTATGGTGCTTGTATATTTACATAGATACAGTATAAATAAAAGATCCAAAAAAATTATAAAATTTTTACTTCATGTTGATAAAACATGTTGAAGAAAAATGAAAAATCCGAGGATACTTTTTCAATAACAAGTCCCAAAGAGAATTTTTCTCGGTTCGATTGTTACATAGCGATAAGTCCAGACGGTCAACAAATTGTTACTTTTAATCCGGGTAAAATTAATTATTAATTAATTAATAATAAATTATTATTTCTATTATTCCTTTTCATCTTTAGTAAATCTTTAAATAAACTTTTTAATAAAATTTTTTTCCAATTAATTTTTTTATAAATTAACAGGGAGATGGGAATTTACGTTATATAACACCGAGGATCCCAGTAATCCTATTTCTACATTTCAATGTGAAGATATAGATTATAATGAATTTAGTAAACCTATTTCTACATTTCTGCCTAAAGATATAGATATTTATAAACCATGTTATTATTCTTTAGCCATATCTAATTGCATAAACGATGATAGTGAACGTCTTGTTGCTTTATCTTGTTTTGATAGACGTAAAATGTGTTACGAAGACGATAATCATAATCAAACGCATGGTCATGACGACAAAGAATCTCACACGTGGGTTATTTCTACTACGGATAAAAGTGAAATGTGCACTTCTTTAGGATTTATTGGTGGCGCAATTAGATTTCTTGATAGTAATGTTGAAATATCGGGATCTCAACCATTAATAAACAAAACAGTAATCATAATAGTTAATGTTTCAGGAATCTACAAACAAACCTTAGATAATGATAAAATTATGATGAAACAAGAATTTCAAAAACAAAATCGATTTTTAAAGCCATCATTCGCCAAGATAGAAAAATTCGAATTACCTCAACAACTTTCAATTAGTCTTTCACGTTTAGAGGCTGTGAAAGATATAGATTTTGGGAAAAGATTAAGTTATGAGCAAAAGGCATTAGAACTTTTACACACGAGTATTATTAAAAATTATTTTATGGCACATTCATTTGAAAATCAACAACAAATCATTGAAATGTATAGTTTAATTACCGGTGATCTAGAGATGTTATTTAAACGTCATGAATGTTCAACAGTTTCTAACATAATTCGTGGTTCTCCGGTCTTTGCCATCTCTCAGAATGAAGGAATTTTAGCATTTTGTCGGGGAACCGTCAGCATTACGTTATACTTAATGGAAAATGGTTTAGAAATTACCACCAAACAATTAGAAGATCATGCAGGAGGAATTTATAAAATTGTGGCTATGGAATTTATCGATAATGATAGTAAACTTTTAATAGTTCTTGAAGAAGAACACGAAAATTTATTATATGAAATTTCTATGCAACAAATATTTATAATATGGGATTTATTTACCACATTTAAAGATTCTATACGTCAAATTGATTATTCCGATTCTCAGGAACCTCTAAAAATGGATGCCACACATCGATTGATTAATTCTCATGGAAATATGTTAGCGGTTACGGATAGTGGAGATATTATCTCAGTTTTAGATCATGTGGCTTCAATCAGAAATCCTCCATCAATAAAGGAAATGAATAAAATTGATATTGTTGAGAAAAATCAAATGATTATACAAGATGTTGAACCATGGAATTCGGATAAACAATATTTTCGATTATCAGTTTGGTTGGATTCTACTAAAAGAACTCAACTTATTATTTCGAATACTACTGTACAAATATGGAAATATCGTAATAAAAATAAGATAGAAATAGATAAACATGATCGAGTACTAGAATATATTTGGGCATCGGAAGATGTGGGATTACAAGTTCAAGAATTAAAAATCGGAGAACGAGAATTTATGTTAAATCTTATAATACCTAAAATGGGATTTTTTACAACAAGATCAAGGACGATACATTGGCCAAGTAATACAAATGTTCTTGAAGGGGCATGTCAAGCACTTTGTATTTTAGGTAGGAACAAACCTCGTACAGAAGGTTTCAAGAATATTAATCGACTTGAATATTTAATTAAATGTACACAAAGATTAGTACGAAAATATATTACAAAATATGGAATATTTAGATTAACAGATATTCGATATTCAATTATGAGAAATCTTATTAAAGGTAATCAAGAGAGTTTAATCAAACTAATTTTAAATAAGAAGATTAATGGAAAGAATAGTAATATTCATATTCCAAGGTTTTATAAATGGGTGATAGATGATAAATCGGATATTAATATTTCTGAAAAAATTAGTGAAACCTCAATATCAATTGATGATACCATTAAAACCCTTAAAACTTCATCGAAGTTAAAATTAAAACCAAATACAGATTTACATAAAGCCATTAGATGGACAATTCAACGAAGAGTTGATTCTACAGCAATTTTAAAATATTTGATAGATTATTACGCGGATAATGCTAAAGAATATAATAATGATGGTTGGATGTTTACTGTAACCAAAGCAATACCTTTACTATATGATTATCAATTAGGTAAATTAAATTCTTTTATTTTACCAAATTATCAAATTATATTAATGAGTTAAATTAAATTTCTTTTTCTTTTAATTTTTTGAAAGATGGATTCGTTCAAAATTTATTCAAGAAACCATGCTTCGGAGTTACCGAAGCTTACACTCCGCCATTACACATTAATCCTCAGGATCAAAAGAAAGGAAATAACGCGGCCGTAATACATATTTTGGTAGTAAAACCGTGTCTTGCATCAAAGCCCAAAATTACTCTATTAGAAAATATAGAGTCTTTCTTTAAAAAACAATTTGGAAGGTAAATTATAATAATTATTATTATTAATCATATCAAAAATAAAGGGAGTTGTCTTCTACTAATTATCTATTTTTTAAAATATTTTGGATTTTTTTAATAGGATTAAAAAAACGATTAATCATAAAAAAACATCGATAGAAATTAATACTTCATATAATGATCGTAAAGTTTATAAAGTACCTTTACCCGATTTTATGGTATATCCCAAAGGTCTTAAAGATCATCATGAAAATTATTACTGGTTTCTATTTACACTTTTTCGAATATTCTGGTTGCCACGTAAAAATGTTATTAATAATATTAGTGAAAAGAGTCCTTTCCTTCGCGTTATTCATGAAGAGAAAAGTTTTGAAATCTATCAGACACCTGCAATTATGTCAATCTTAGATTTTAAATGGCCAGCTGCCCGTCAACATTTTATTCGTCATATCATTTTATATATATTATACGTTATTTCGTTTTCTACAATAATTGGTTCATATTCATCAAATATAGCTTATTTATTTAAAACAGAATCAAAAATTATATTAAAAATTAGTATCTTTGTATATTGTTATACTGGATGGTATTTAATTGTTACGGAGATTATGCAATCAATAAGAGAAGGATGGCGCAGATATTTGAATATTTATAATATGTTTGATCTAGCATCAGTATTTTTACCGTTAGCGTGCAATATAGTGATGGTTTTAAATTCTCATGGAAAAATCATTTTGCAAACTTCAGTATTTAATTCTGTTTTAGCATTTACAGCTTTATTTACGTGGCTTGAATTGGTAGGTCCTTTTTTGTCGTCCTCTTTTCTTTTTCTGGATGTAATAAATTTTTTTAGTATTTTTATTATTTTTTTTATAATTATTATTTATTATTTTTTTTTTTAGTTATTTATATCAAGATATTTTGAAGGTCCCGGACGTTTTATACATATCATTAAAAGTATTTTAAAAACTATTTGGCCATTCTTGACAGTCATGTTTATTGTCATAGTTTCATTTGGTCATGCTATGTAATTATAATAATTAATGAATTTTGTTTTCATTATTTTTAAATGTTACTAATTTATTTTATTTTCATTACATTTTGTTATTATGATCATCTTCAGGTTCATTCTTCTTAACCATACGGATGACTTGCAAATTCCTACTTATAAAATTGAAAATTCAGATTTATACTCAAATATATCAATTAAACAGGATATTGACAAATATTCCCGACTTGATAATTATTATTCAAATTTCCTCTCATCAGTAGAAGCTGTCTTCTTTTGGACCAATGGACGTTGGGATCAATTGGGCCAATGGGATAATTATGGTGTAGATGTAATGAGTATATTGGGAAGCATAATATTGGTGTTAATTTTCCAAAATTTATTGATTGCATTTATGAAGTAAGTTTATCATTTAATTATTATGAATTATAAATTGTGATTATAAAAGTACTAAAAGTTTTTGGATTATAATTTTTTATTTCTTTTGATTTCTCTTAATTATTTAGTGATGTATTTGATAAAGCAAATAAAGAAAGTTACATAATAGCTTATAAATATCGTGCTCAGCTTGTTGCTGAATATGATACCTTAGAGAAACCTTTTGGTAGTGAAAGAGGTAATCCTCGATACATTTATTACATACCTAACCCTGATATGATTGATACCTGGCTTAAGGAAACTAAAAAAGCTGAGGATGAGAAAAATCTTATTGGTAAGAGTTTAGCTGGATCGTCGGATTACAGCGATGATGATGATGATGATGATGATGATGATAGCAATTATGATGATGATGACGACAATGATGATGATAATCAAGGTAATAACTGATAATAAAAATAAACATGTGAATAAACGTTTTCAATCATAACATGAATTAAATTTTTTTTATAAATTTAGATAATTCATCTTATTCAAAAAAATATAAACATATACAAAGTGATGATTGTTTAGATACTACGGATGCTATTGAACCTATTACAACCAAATATACTGAAAAAGCTGATAAAATTATATTTATTGATGAAGAAAAATTTGAATTAAATGTGACTTCTAAATCTAACCAGAAATCACAAATAAATTCGAAATCATCATCATTATTATTCAAGAATAAATCAAGCGAACCCTTTTCTGATGATGATCAATTATCAACATCACAAGAAAATTTTAATCATAAAATAAATGATATGGAAAATGAATTCAAGGCAAGATTTGATTCATTAGAAAATAATTTTTATCAACACCAAGAGAAATTTGATCATAAATTAAATGATATGGAAAATGAATTCAAGGCAAGATTTGATTCATTAGAAAATAATTTTAGAACTTTATTGACAACTTTAACTAATCAAAATGATCAAAATAATCAAAATAATCAAACTAATTAAAATAATTAATAAATTAGAGAAATATATATTTATACTTTTTTTTTTTGAAAATTTGTATTTTATACCCAAAAATTATTTGTTTAATTTATTTTATTATTTATATTTTATATTTTATTTTATTATTTTATTATTTTATTATTTTATTATTTTATTATTTTATTATTTTATTTATTATTTATTATTTTATTATCTTATTTATTATTTTATTATTTTATTTGATCACATAGCTTTATTTAAATTAAGGCAAACCAGTATGTAATCATTTAAAATAAATCATTGTTTCAAAAATTTAAAATATTTATAATCATTTATAGGTAAACTGAAAGTCCATATGAGTCAACTTTCCATTCTTAACTTTTATAATTGATGCATAAACGAACAAGACATGACAGTTAATTGAAATTTTAAATGTTTATTTATTAATATTCTAAAATAAAAATGGTATAAATACCATTATTTTTTGTTGAACTTTTACTTTATAATATAGAATAAAGTTATATGAAGATTATATTGACTATAATATTGTGTATTCCGAATTACCCTTTATCATCTCGCAATTATTATGAGGTGATTACAATTGCATATTTATTGTCATTATAACAAAATTACCGCTTATCTCATATCAAATTTTATTTATATAAAGGATTAAATTAGATCAAAAAATTGCAAGTGAAAAACCAGTTCAAGGAATTTTTTTTTTTTGACATGGTGAGTAAATTAAATAAAAATTATACAGTATAATTATGTATATTCTTTAACAGTTAATCCTGATTTAAATAATTTTTTCATAGAAAAATCACTAATGTGAATATAATGGTAGACAATTTGATACACCAAATTGTTTTATCAATCATCCCTTCCTAATATTAAAATATCTCGTATGTTTTGTGGATTTTCAAGTACTCAAGTTTGTATACTTAACGTCATACAGACACAGAACAATGGAACACAGAGCAATGTCAAAAATTATTATGTGAAACTTGATTTCTTATCATCTGGTTCTGTTATAAAAATTACCCCATTAATCAGCTTACCCAATTTACCCTTAAATTATACTACAGGATGGCAAGTGGAAAGTATTCCTTATGGTGGTTATTTATTTTATGGTTATTTTCAGGATGCAAACGGTCGTAACAATGCTTATGGATACTATTACAACGAAATCGAAGATTATTATAAGGAATGGGATTTTCCTGAACCATCAGTTTTAAATTCGCAAGGAACTTTGATAATTATGTCTAATAATACTCTATTAGTATCACTAAGAGAAAATAATAATACGTGGATTTCGGATAATGGTTATTTAAATCTTCTAGTAGATTCTACAAGTCCCCGAATTAATTCTAATATAACAAAGGATACGAAGAATATTACAATCACATATTATGAACCAGTTAACTTTCTGACGGATTTATTTAGATCTATCGAATCGATGACAAATTTACTACTCAAAACGTTACTCGACAATTTGTTAATGGCAACAATGATGAATTTTGTTCCATCTCTGATGATGAATTAACTGTAATTGTAGAAGTTATCAGAAGTACCTTTAACATAATATTAGCTATTAGGATAACTAAAGTTGATAATAATTTTGTAAGAAGCAAAGTATTCGGTGAACCCTTAATGGGTATAGATTATAATATTTGGAATTTCTATACAAGTATGTAAATGATATTATTTTATTATATGTTATTAACTTAAATACTAAATATCTCTCTCTTTATATCCTGACGGTTTTTAGGTTCGAGAGAAGAAATTTTTTCAGGTAAATTTCGGTAAAATTGTTATTATGTGTGTTTAATATAAATACACTCTAAATGGGATTAAAATTTCTACACTAGACACAGTATCCGGAGTAATGCGTTTAACAAAAGAAGGCACCAGACACTACTATGATCTTAATTCAACTGGAAGAACTAATTTCTTTAAAAATCTAATAATTGAATTATCTGAAATTCTTTCTATTGGTTCTAATCGACTAAGTATAACTGACAAAGTCCAAATTGAAAATTTTCGACTATTAATTGAACCTATTGTCGCGGTCTGCGCAGAACAAGTGGAAAGTTAAGCCAATCAGTCTCAATAAATTTGGGTCAATCACACGATA